GGGATCATGACCTGAGCTGAAGGCAGTCGCTTAACCAACTGAGCCACCCAGGCGCCCCTAATTGCTATTTTAAAATCCCATACGTAGTTTGTACATAGTTATGTACAATCACATAATAACTTTAAAATACATTGTCGCTCTCCTTATGTCAATTGTCTCAATTCTGGTTGTGTTTCCTTTTTTTCCTCTTAAGGGATTGGCCACTATCTTGTCCATGTTAATTGTTTCTTCAGAGTCAGCTTCTTTCATCTTTATTATTTCCTTCCTCTTATTTTCCTTAGGAGTTCTTTTTCATTCTATTTCTAGCAGCTTACATTGAATGCTAAATTCTTTCAAAAAATAATTTCATTCTGTTAGTTCAACGCTGGTATATCATTAGTCACATTTCCTGTGTCTTCTTGTGTAATATTTCCATAACCTTTTTTTCTAAACCCTCTCTTCTTATGTTATTTTCCTGTGAGCCAGATATTACATAAGGTTTTCCAGTTGATTGATGGCTTTTTTTTTTTTTGTCTTTAGCTTATGATTTCTTACTTTACGACATTATGACCAGAGATTATGGCTGATGTAATTTCTACTTGCGTGAATTTATTCACAGGGCTTTGTCAAAAATAACTTGTGTTTCTGCTTATAAAATATCATCTCCTAATTCTACCTTAAAGTTGTATTACCCATATTCTCTATTCTTGAATTCTTTTTTTGTGTGCAAACTCTATTTAATCACAACCTAGTAACAGTGAATTAAAAGTTTTCATTGCAGTCCTGTGTGTATGTGTGTGTTAGGGTTAGGGCTTGGGAATCTTGAAGGCTACTTGGAGGAGGGCGCTGAGCTGTGGGCAGTCCCAAACTGAAAGGGTTAACAATACCAAGGTAGAAAGAGTCCCATCAATCAGCTTTCTTATGTTCTGTACTTTTCTGGTTGTTGCACTTACTATTCCGTGTTGCAATTGCTTATTTGTATTCACCATCAGATAGAAATCTGCCCAGCTCACCAGGTATCCCAGAAGGCACTCAATAGATGCTTGTTTATGGAATAAGTCTATATTGTTGCATTCTCTTTTTTAAACGAACTTGAGTATCCTGGCTCTCTAAAATAGCACCCGATCTAAGCGCTACCCTTGTTCTGACTTGAAAGATTTCTTCGTGATGTGCTGCCTTTAGTCGTTCTCTCTGTTTCTGTGCTGACATATGAAAGGAACCCTGTTTACTTTTGGCGACTTGGAAGCCCCTCACCATATTGTTCACCCAGTAACAATTTTCTTGAAACATTTTGTAAACTTCTGTTCTGTACTCAACCAAAGCTGGTATCTTCTGACTCCCCTTCATGGAAAAAAGAAATATTATGCCCTTCTGAGCCTCCTTCTTCTTTCCTTACCTTTCCTGTTCTTCTAAAGTTGAAAATCTAATCAGATTATAGCTATATATTGCCATGTAACAAATTATCCTAAAATGTGGTGGCTCAAGACAACTAACTATTTAGTCTCGGGACCATGGCTTAGCTGGGGGTCCTCTGGCTCAGTCTCCAGTAAGACTGCAGTCAACTGGGGGAGCATTTGCTTCCAAGCTCACCCATGTGGCTATTGGCAGGCCTCAAAAGATCCACTTCCAAGCTCACTCATGCGGCTGTTGGCAGGCGTCAGATCCTGGCTGGCTGTTTGCCAGAGTTACAGTTTCTTGCCACGTGGGTCTATCCATGGGGGCAGCTCAACATGGTGGTGCTTTGCTCAGAGCGAGCAAGGGAGAAAGCAAGAGAGAACAAGACATGGTGAGCAAGATGGAAGCCAGAGTCTTTCTGGAACCTAATCTCAGAGGTGACATTCCATCCCTTCTGCTCCACTCTGTTAGAAGAGTGTCCAGCTCACACCGCAGCGTAGGGAGATTTCACAAAGACCTGAACACCCCGGGGGAGGGGCTCTATGGAGTCCTCTTCGGAGCTGCACGCTGCAATATAAAACATCCTCTTTTTATTCTTTTAAAAGGATTTTCCTTCTGTTCCAATATCTGTATCAGTTATTTAGATAACATTCACTTTCCCCCTGTTCATTGTAAAAACCTAACGTAGATTTTTATACTTAAGTCCATAACTTGATTTCAGTAACAATCACTATTTTTTTTTGTAATCATAACTTCCCAATTAATAGTTCCTTCACTAATTCTGACCAATGACTTGCACACTCTTGAAGAATATCTGCATACACAGTACTAAGCTTATTGATACTTTTGAGTCTCTGCAAATCTTAAAATGTCTTTCAATTTCCCTTATATATGAACAACCCATGACTAGAAATGAAATCCTCGTGGGTCACGTCTACATCTTATTGGACTATAGGCGTTTCTTCTATTTGAACGTTGGCTATTTCAGAAGAGACATATAAAGCAAGCTTGATTTTTAACCCTTTTGAGTATTTTTTCCCCTTGAAGTTAAAGAATACATGAGGATATGTATTAATATTATTTCCTTTTTATTGCTCTTATCTGGGATAAGGCAAGTCCTCCTGATTTCCAAAGTCAATTTTTTCCCTGCCAAATTCTGGGAACTTTTATAACCTATTCTTTTTTAAAATTTTATTTTAAAGTAGGCTCCATGCCCAACATGGGGCTTGAAGTCACAACCCTGAGATTAAGAGTCACACGCCCATGGACCAAGCCAGCCAGGAGTCTCTAATCTATTCTTAATCAGCTGTTCCTTCTTTATCAGGAAAGTTTTTTTGTTTTTGTTTTTTAAAGATTTTATTTATTTATTTGACAGAGAGAGACACAAGCAGGGGGAGTGGGAGAGGGAGAAGCAGGCTTCCCGCGGAGCAGGGAGCCCGATGCGGGGCTCGATCCCAGGACCCTGGGATCATGACCTGAGCCGAAGGCAGACTCTTAACGACTGAGCCACCCAGGCGCTCCTATCAGGAAAGTTTTATTCACAGTTTGGTGGTCAGGTCAGTGTCCTATTCTTCATATATATTGTCTTCTTTTGCTTCATTTAAAATATTTTGTATTGATTTATCCAGCTTTTGGTATATAATGCTTGGTATTATCATCTATTTGGATGAAGAGCTTCTCTGCAGTTTTCATTCTCTCTTACTGCTTTTTTTTTTTTTTTTAAGATTTTATTTATTTGACAGAGAGAGATACACAGCAAGAGAGAGAACACAAGCAGGGGGAGTGGGAGGGGGAGAAGCAGGCTTCCCGCAGACCAGGGAGCCCGATGCGGGGCTCGATCCCAGGACCCTGGGATCATGACCTGAGCCGAAGGCAGACGCTTAACGACTGAGCCACCCAGGCACCACCTCTCTTACTGCTTTTAATGAAGACCCAATCTCAGCTATTCTGGGAATAATTTTGTGGCATTCTCTTTTTGTGCTGACCTGTTTATTGGTATAATGAATTCCTTTATCTCATTGGAAATAGAAAGCAGCTTTATCTTCATGTTAACCTATGTGAAGAGGAAGATTTTCCTTTGGGGTCTTCCATATTCTTCAGTTGCTGCGGAATTTTTTCATAGGTCCTATGTTCCTTTGAGTTTTTCTAAAAGTCTTTAGTGTGTTTGTCTGGAAGCCTAGAGGGACTGGATTTCTAAAAAAAAAAAAAAAAAACCCACATCCCATGATTCATTTGAACATGGAGAGCTCTCCCTGGGAGTAGTGCCAAAGGTTCAACCAAAAGGCTGCCAACGACTCCCTTAGGAAGTTCCTGGATCTGAAAATGAAGACCAGGAATAGCTGCAGGTTAGCTAACCTAAATCTTTCTTGGAATAAGACTGGAGTATAATCAATCAATAGGTGCAGGTTGCTCAGCCCACTTCTGGTGGATGGCTGAACAGAGCAAATCTAGTGCAGACCAAGTGTTTTCTTATTCATGCTGGAGAATTATTTCTTTGTGTTGGCTCATGTTACAACATTTCCTTCTTATCTTAAACATCTTCAGATAACTTCTACCCAAATTTACAGTCCACAGTTCATCTATCATTATATCTTCCCCCTCATTTGGGCTTTCTTTTTTCATACTCCATCCCATCCCTTTGGGTTCACTTTTCTTCTTGCTGAATTAAGTCCTTTGGTAGTCTTTTCAGTGAGGATCTGTGAAGGGCAAGTGCCCTTTGACTTTGCAAATCTGAAAAAGCTTTTCTTTTGCTCTTACTTGTGAATGATACTTTAGAATTCTGAACAGATTCTTTTTTTCTTTTAGCACATCGACCACATTATTCCATTGTAAGTCTTCTGGCTTCTGATACTGCTCGTGCGTGGTCCACTCTTGGTCTAATACCCCGTTGCAGAATCTGTCTTGCCTCTAATGTCACTTTGATGTTTTTTTTCCTTTTTATCCTTGATTTTTTGCAGCTTCATATGATGTATCTAGGAATGATTTACTTGCATGCTCTGTATTCAGTGTGTTTATTCTTTCACTATGAGGAAAAAAATCTCAGCCAACATTTTTCAACTGTTGTTCTCATCTTCACCATCCTCTTACTTCAGACTATTATTAGATCTATGCTAGAACTTGCTGGAACCTCTCTATCCATCCCCTGTGTTCTGAACTCTCTTTGTAATCTATCTTTATTGTGCTGGGTAAATTCCTGGTACTATCTCTCAATCTGCTACTTTTCTTTTTCTGTCCAATACAGAGGAATACTTTTTTTGCCTTAGTGAATATATTTTTCAGTTCTAAGATTTATTATACATTCTTTTTCATATTCTCCTGTTCTTGCTTTGTTTCTGCCCGTTTTGTTTCATAGCTTTTTTATCCTTTTATGGATGTTATTCATTCACTTATCCCTCTGAAGACCCTAAAATTGTCATCTTATAGTCATTTTCAGGCAGCTGTATTCTTGTCATGTCAGCTGGAATGAATTCACCTACTCACTGTTGATTTAAAACTTAATGCAAGAGTCGTAATCAAATCTAGGATCACTATATACAATTGAGATTGAAGTGGGACTCCCTGACCCATTAAGGAAGCCTGGAAGAAAAATATGGCCTTTCTGGTGGTAACGACCTCCCCACAAGAACATGCCCCTTGTGAAGGACCTCCTCCACCCATCCCTGGAAGAAAAGAGGAAGCCCAAGAAGAAGGGCCTGGTACAGAGCCCCAATTCCTACCTCATGGGTGTGAAGTGCCCAGGATGCTATAAAATCATCACCATCTTTAGCCATGCACAAACAGCGGTTGTGTGGGTTGGCTGCCCCACTGTCCTTTGCCAGCCTACAGGAGGGAAAGCAAGGCTTACAGAAGGTTGCTTCTTCGTAAGGAAGCAGCACTAAAAGCACCCCGAATCAAGGCGAGTGGGAAATCATTCCAATAATCACATTTTGGCTAAAAAATATGCTAAGACTATCACCTGGACCTCTGACTCTTAAGAAGCCACCTACCTAGGGATGTGGGAGAAGCTCCACCTGGTATCCTGGGCTGGAGAGAAGCCACCAGTGTTTGAATCTGGGCTGTTTTGTAACGATCCTGGCTTTGGTCTCCTGTCTCTCATGGGGTACTTTTGAACCCATCAACTTTGCTTACCACTTGTCAGCTAGTATTTCTGAATAATTTAGAGTCCTTGGAATTATTTGTTTTCTTTTTGAGCTTGGCTACGCATTTGTCGTGTTTCGTTTTTACATTTTATCTATCATTGTCACCTGTCGAGGTAAAGAGGATCTCAAAGTATGACCTTAACCCTATTTTGACTGGAGTCCTGCTTCTAAATGTATAATTTATATTGGAAGTTCAGTATCAATTCATGTCTTTGGTGTCTCTACATCTCAGTAAGGTGTTCTGAGTTCCCAGAGCAATTTTAAAGTTCACCTACAACAAGCAAGTGTCAGATATGGTTCTTTAATTTTGAATTTCTATGTTATCACCTATATTGAAAATTAGCATAATCATATTACACATTAGCATCCCAACCGCAGCTTTTATCTACACCTAAATGCCTTATGGATCTTTGAATTGTAGATGTATCTCAAGGGATGTGACTATTATGTTAACCAACTACCAGTGTTATTTCCAGCTCACAGTTCTTGTTTATACAGATTTGGTTGGTTTTCTCAGGCAGGGGTATTTATTAATGACTCTGTTCCCGGTCCAGTGCAGTCCTGGGGCCTGCGGGCAATCAAGGGCGCCAGACATAGGTCAACAGAGGACCTCGCTGCATCCACGGAGGCCCCGGACCTCAGTGCACACTTACATCATTCCACATCTGTGTAACAGCCAGAACAAAGGGAAAATACGGTGGAGGTGGTGGTGATGTCTCTGCCGATGGCTAGGGAAAAGATTTGAGGTGATGGTTACCCCTATATCCTCTCCTTACCATCCCACAGTCACCAAGGTATGATTGCAACCTCTCCCCTTTGCTTCTGTGGCCCCAGGGTATGCGTGCATGTGTGTGTGTGTGTGTTTGTGTGTGTGTACATACACGTGTGTGTGTGTGTGTGTGTGTCCCTCCTTACACTTTGTGGCTGCAAGGTATAAACCTTTCAGACAACTGGCCTGCTCTTAAGGAAGGACTCCTGTCCAGGGTTTAATATGCGGTGCAAGGGGGCACCTGGGTGGCTCCGTTGGTTAAGCGACTGCCTTCGGCTCAGGTCATGATCCTGGAGTCCCTGGATCGAGTCCCGCATTGGGCTCCCTGCTCGGCGGGGAGTCTGCTTCTCCCTCTGACCCTCCCCCCTCTCATGTGCTTGCTCTCTCTCATTCTCTCTCTCTCAAAATAAATAAATAAAATCTTAAAAAAAAAAAAATGTGGTGCGAGGAGCATAAAATGGAAGAACGCCGAGAGGCAAAAGGCTCATGGCTCCTAAATTGGGCCTCCAGTGGCCAGGGAAGCTGAGTAGCAGAAGACTACATTCTGATTCGGTGAGCGCCTCTAGGATCACGCAGGTAGGAGGACTGGTTCTAGTCAGCCAGCCCATGCATATTGCCACACAGAGAGTGCCACAGGGTGGAAAATGCCTGCAAAAATGTGGCCGGGAGAAGTAGCACTTTCTCACTCCTCTTTTGCTCATTTTGGTGGTTTGAGGTGAGAAAAGTCATCCATACCCCCCCTGCACGCTTGCGCTGTTATACAAGAGAGAGGAGGGAGTTTTCATGTTCCTAAATTTTGTTTCCCATCTTGCCAACCTTGTTATATAGGCGTTCTGATAAGGGGCTCTCAACTCAATACATACCCTTATTACAAGAATGCACTCTCCTATTTTTATTCTGTTCTGTTTTATTCTATTAGAGTCCATTTTATTTAAAAATAAAAAGTCTGCCAATTTTCATGAATGGGTGAATGGGTAAACAAAATATGATCTATCTATCTATCTATATCTATCTATCTATCGTGGATATTTACGGAATGGAATATTATTTCACCTTACAAAGGATGGAAATCCTGTCACATGCTATCATACGGATGAACCTTGAGGACATTACACTAAGTGAAGTAGCCAAACACTGGCTAGACTAAAAGACAAGTACTGTATGATTCCACTTGTTATATGAGGTACCTAAGGGTAGTTAAATTCACAGAGACAGAAAGCAGAAGGGTGGTGGCCAGGGGCTGGGGGAGAGGGAAAAGGGGAGCTGTAGATGGATATGGAATTTCAGTTTTGCAAGATAAATGAGTTCTGGAGGTGGATGGTGGTGCTTCGTGCACAAAATGGTGATTTTACTTAACATGACTGAGCTGTATATTTAAATAGTGAAGATGGTAAATTTTATGTTAGGTGTTGTTTGTCGTTGTTGTTTTAACCACACACAAAACACAATAAGGTCATTGGGACAAAGCAAGGGGGCTTTGGGGAACCCTGCCTAAGGTGGGGTCAGTCAGGGAGGTCTCCCCAGAAAACGTGGCATGTAAGCCAAGACCTGAGGGATGAATGAAGGTCACCATGGAAGGGTGTGGAGGCTCTGGGGTTGAAGAAGGCTCTCGACTGTGAACAGGTTAAGCAGGCCTTATCAAATCATGTGTGGGTTCCTATCATCAACCGGCTTCCTGCTCTCAGTCTCTTTCCACCTACACACTGATGCCAGATTAATTTTCTAGAACACCGCCTGGATCATGCCAGTCTCCCACCTTCCTGGCTAATCCTTCCAGAACATTTTTCTTTTTGCCTGCTGAATAACCCCTCTGCCTGGCACTCAAGACCCTCTTCTCCCAGACCCCTCACCGCCCCCCCCCCCATATGCGAACCCTTGCACCAGACATCCCTCTGCCACGGTCCCTGAACACACCTCTGCTCTTCTGTCAGGTATGCTCTTCCTTTCCAGCCCCCATGTCCCCGTCCCTTTTGTGCCTTTGGACACCCTCTCCACTCCCTTTCCGGATTCTGTAGCATGGAGTTTAGCGTTTGCTTTCCTATCTTTTAACTTGCCCGCCTCCTTCCCCGCCTCCACACACACACACATTCCCCGGGGAACGGAGCCTTACTCGTGGTCGAGACCCTAGTGCTCAGCGCCACGTCCGGGAAAGCCTAACAACACTTCTCAGTACCTAACAGTCACGGTGATCCCGAGTCCTGAAGGTCAGCAGCAATCACCAGCCCAGGGTGCCGGCCGACCCGAGGCTGCGTGCACCAGGAAGCAGCCTGTTTACCCTCGGCCCGAGCCGGGAGCCCGGCTCCGGCACCCTTCCATCTCCTCCTGACATTCTTGAGCTGAGCATCTCCTGACCAGGCCCTTCCAGATGCTTCACAGGATTATCTGCCTGACAGCACAGCCCTCCCAGGCCAGTGACTGTGTCCAGAGAGAAGCCAGGGCAGTGACAAGCACAAAGGCACATTCTCCCAGAGGCCAGAGGACACGCTCTGGGGCTGGGGCAGGGGGTGATGGCCGGGGGGGAGGGGGGTGGAGGACTCAGGTGGCCGCCCCGCCTCGGGCCTGCTCTCCTAGAAGCCGAGCCAGAAGCCCGGGCTTGCACGGGGATCTCTGCAACCGGCAAAGGCCGAGGGGCTGTGGGTCGGAGAGGAGCGGTGGGGGCGGAGTGAGGAGGCGCGGGGGTTGGGAAATCCACCTGGATGCCATCAGTCTTGCCAGAGTAAACAGAGCTGACAGGAGTGCTTGCCGACAGCCTGGTACAGGTTAGGGGGGGTCAGCGGAGCGGCCTGGTGACCCGCCTGCCTGAAGGTAGAGACGCTCTGGAATCTGTCACAAAGGACAGAGCTGAAAGCTCATTCCTCGTGGAATGAACCCGTTTCCTGGCATTCCACACAACGGGGAGTGCGGACGCTTTTAAAAATGTCTTAAATGTAAATCTGCGCTGGGTTCAAATACACACATTTAAAGCAAAACAAACAAAAAAGATCCACCCTCACCAACCTCAAAGTAGGATCCGTAGTCTACATGTCACTAGGCATTAAAAAAAATACCTTTTTCAAAGCTCTTTCTCCATTTTCTTGAAGCTTGAGGGTTTAGAAAGTATAGCTGGACTTAGCAGGAGAACCTACCACTTAAATTATCTAGAACTCTCCAAAACAACAGCAGAGCCTGCCTTGAGCGAAGGTCTTTTATTAATATCCTATAATATGGGGCATGGCAATCTCTGTCTCTTCCTAAGAGCAAAACCCTGCAAGCACTCACTTCTGCTTAGTGTGATATGAAAGTAAGAGTGGTGGCATATTTAGCATACTTCGCAGGACTCTCCCATAAGCTAGACCAAGTGGGACAGAAATTGTGAAAAAAAAGAGTCTGAGTAACTCACAAGGCATTTTGAATCATCGGAAGCACCAGCAAGATGATTGTTAGTCTCTCCCTTCAGCAGGCACCGAGGGTCTGTTAAGTGCCTGGAACGTGCCGGAGTACCAGGTGGGGGAGGGCCACCCACACACTGAAAGCCACGGCCACGGTGACTTTAGCTCAAAAAGACACTCAAGTGGTTTCTTCGGGAGAAAACCAGTCACCACCTAAACCTGCCTGAGCCCTGCAAGATGTCCGGCTGATCTGTTTTGTGACCTTGGGCAAGTCACTTCACCAGCCTGGGTCTTGTTTCTTCACCAATAAAACAAAGATAGTAAAACCAGGGTAACTTCGGGGTATTCCTGGCACTAATGAAGGCTTGTAAAGCGCTTTGAGATCCTTAGGATGAAAGTCTCTCCAGAACAGTAAAGCCTGGTTATTACGCTTCGAACATGACATTCCCATGAAAACCCTGGCCAGGCTCTTACCCCACCTCTCCATGAAGATTTAATAGCAGAGAGTTGTAGTAAGTTCGTAAAGGACAGAGACCTCCATTACTGATACAAAATACGCTATGGCGGACTAGTATATTAAGGGCTATTATCATGAATAATTA